GAAACCAGGAAGGAAAGCCAGGCTCTAATATGAGAGCTTTAATTTCCATCCGTTAATTACAGACACAAAAAACATTACAATCACTCTTTTACAGTTCGCAGACTTGAGCGTAAAGAGACGTCATACGTTTTATTTCTCCTTGTCCTTTGCTCGCTCTGTCCCGTGACGATGTTTCCCTGCAGAAATACATCACGGAGCTCGCGTACGGCACAGCCCAGAAGTTTGTTTTGGATGGAAAGCATGAAGAAGCGATACCCGCAGCTTTGCACGCCCTGCGCTTCGGTACCGAAGTGTACGGCTCAAATTCTGTGCAATTGGTGCCCGCTTATCTCCTCTTGGCTGAGGCCTCCGCTGGTAAGTATTGTCTAAATAGTAACGCTGGCAAGGGCAAGACCTCCCGTGGGTCAGGTTTCTGGTTTCCTTTTCCCATTTATCAGGCAAGGACCAGCTCACAACATTGTGCCCTGCCTCTACCCTGCCCTGCCTCAAGGGCATTGCAGAGAGATTGGAGAAGTCACACCCCACCCCCCCTTTTCTGGGGGGGGTCCGGGGAAAAGAATCACTGCTGTGATGAGAGATCGATGAAAGCAAATGAAATGTTTTCTCCATCTCTACCGATTCCCACAAGAGAAGCAGCAGGAAAATCTGTTCTTTACCTGTGGGGCTTCGTCTGACTCTCAAAAGCATTAAATTCCCGAGAGTGGTTGGTCGCGCTCTTATCTCAGGGAACCAGCAAACATTTCTAAGGCCGTTGCATCCGCAGAATGCCTCCGTTCATTCACAAAAGTGCTCTCTGCCCGAAGCGGAGCTTTTTCTCATTGATTGTATGCTTTATAAAAAACGTCAAGTGAGGACTCTGCAGGTGGGGAACTCCTCGGCTGCAGACGTAAAGGACCGAGAAATCACAGTAAATCATTGCCGGTGCAGGAGGGCGCACAAGGCTCTGCTGGCAGAATTGAGCTGTCTCGAGGATTGTCGTAAATTGTGTGGCGAGAGAAGGGGGGAGAAAAAAAAAGCCCCGTGAGTAATTCTAGTGTGATAATGCATGAGTCATTAGTGGCTGCCTCTAGCTAACCTGTTTTGAACACGTGTTTCAGAGATATTGAATGCAAGATGCAGCTTCTGGCTGCTCTGGTAGCTCTTGACACTCAGCCTGGCTGTAAATCGGATTCTGACCACCCGCTCGCCTAAGGAGCGCTCCGGAGGGAAGCGGGGAATCCGCAAACTAGGTCTCCGTATCAAAGTACTGCCGAGGATTAATGGGCAGTATTCTCTAATTTTCTAAATTAAAAAAAAAAAAAAGCTATTTATCCTGCTTATTTCTACGTGTCGTTTCAGGTGTTGGCCATCTTCCGGAGGCATCTAGGTATCTCTCCCAAGCTCGGTGGATTGTCCTCAGCACCCCAGACTGCAGCGCTGCTGTTCGGTACAAATTGCATCGCGGTCTGGGGCTGTTCTGTGCCGCCGAAGGAAACTTTGAACAGGCTTTATATCACCTGGCGAATGACGTAAGCCAGCGCAAATACGGAAACGCTTCGATTTTACTTCCTTCTCTGATGCTTCCAGATCAATATGAAAACGCCAGCGGACAGATTTGTCATCCTGGTTTTAGGTGCCGAGAGGATACACGTTATGAACACCTGAGCTGTCTGGAGCTAAGGCACCTGTGTGTCCGTGTGTTCCCAAAGTTGCGTTTCACCAGTTTTCCTTATCCCCTTGAGGTGCCACAGACCTCGTCTGTACTGCATCTGCTTAGAAGTCTATCTGTCGACTTGGTCACGGTCCTGAGCTGAACAGACGTTCCTACCCCAAACCGGTCTAGGTGCCTTTTATCCAACAGATAGGTTACTTTATATATTGGCTGTCCTTTTCCTCAATACTTTTCCGTTAGGCGGCAGTTCACTATTTAACGACTGCCTTATTGAACTATTTAAATCATAGAATCATAGAATTGTTTAGGTTGGAAAAGACCCTTCAGATCAGAGAGTCCAACGTTAACCCAGCACTGCCAAGGCCACCACCAAACCATGTCCCAAAGCACCACGTCCACCCGGCTTTTAAATCCCCCCAGGGATGGGGACTCAGCCCCTGCCCTGGGCAGCCTGGGCCAGGGCCTGACAGCCCTTTGGGGGAAGATGTTTTTCCCCGGCTCCAGCCTCCTTTCAGGCCGTTGCAGAGAGCGATGAGGGCTCCCCTCAGCCTCCTCTTCTCCAGGCTGAGCCCCCCCAGCTCCCCCAGCCGCTCCTCCCCAGCCTTGGGCTCCAGCCCCTGCCCCAGCCTCGCTGCCCTGCTCTGGCCACGCTCCAGCCCCTCCATGGCCGCCTTGGGGTGAGGGGCCCAGCGCCGAGCAGAGGACTCGAGGTGCAGCCTCCCCAGTGCCCAGCGCAGGGGCTGTCTGGTTCGACAGCGTTTTCCCCCATTCAATATTTTCGCCATGAGAGCAGTTTGTTGGGTTGGAAGTGGCTCCTGCCAGCTGTGTTCCTGAGGATGCTTTCCCTGTCATTTGATCCCCCAAAGGCAGATGAACTCCGCCACATCCTATTTATGTCCCGCGTAGCCTAAATTTATCCCGTGCAGAGTGATGTACCCCCGCTACTGTTGAATTTGATAGTAGCTTTGTGCGGGCGTAAATGATGACATACGGTTGGGGAGAATTAGATCCTTTCTGTTCTAATCTGCACAACCCTCTCTTCGCTTGGGCCGTAAACCTTTCGGGAGCAATTCCCCGCTGCGCCATTGTTTTTTTAGATACCCTGAATCCGGTGCCCGAAAGGGGGTCAGGTAATCATTTCTCACTATTAGCAAGTCGCCGGTCTACGTCAGAGCAGCCCTGCCTGAACTTTGGCTGCGTGTCTGCGATCTGCTGAGAGTCACACGCCAGCTCAGAATAGCTGGAATGCACCCCTGCCTCCCCGCTCCCCTGGCTCCGGCTGGGGCGCCGGGGGGAGAGAGCGGCGCCGCGGGCAGGGCCGGAGAGCTGAAAAGCGGCAGCGGGTCGTGCCTTCGGAGACGTGCGGCATCGCGCAGCGAGAGGAGGAGGTGTGGGAAAGCCACCCCGCGCTTCAAGGCGCTGCGATGAGGTTCCTCTGCCCCGGCGAGCAGGGGGCTTGGGGGTGTTGCGTTCCTTTGCGTAAAACCCAAAATACAGCTTTTTTCGTACCACGTTTCACAGTCATAATCCGGTATAACTAACGCTATGGTTACCCAGAAAAAACCTGAATGCTTGCAACATTGTTAACCCTTAATGAAATATTTCCCGGGTCTGATACAAACGTTAAACTTCTGCTTTTTTTTTTTTTTTTCATATCGCTTTCAGATTTACCTTGCTAGTTCTACGTTTGGACTAAAATCCCTTGAGGCCTCTGGAGGGTATTTCCACATGGCTAATGTTTTCTTTCGCCAGAACAAAACGGACGTAGCAAACTCACTCTATGCCGAGGTTGGTAAAACCGAAGGTCATCCTCTAGATACGTCTCCGTTTTTTATTGTGCTCTTTCCAGTGGTCGTCCTGTTTCTGGCTGCCTTTAATAGGATGGTGACCATATCAAGTGCCAGCGTTCCCTTTTAGGATCAATCTCAGAAATCCTTTTCGTACTTAAATATTTCTCTGAGGTAAAAGCAGGAGAGAGAAATTCTCTACTCGGTTAAAAACTGTTATTCAAGTTGTCTTCAATTTGGGCAGCCAAACCTTGTTAAAAAAAGGCTTTGCTACCAAATACCCGGCGCCGGAGGTCAGAGCGAGCCCCACGAGCAGGGAAGGCCGCCGAGGAGTTTCCGTAGCCAGGGAGGAATTGCTGAGCAGCGATGGGATACACACGAGCCGCGTAAAATTTACGCTGAGAAGCAACGAAAAGTCACGCTGGTACAAGATTGTCAGAACAGAACGAGCAAGCGAGGGAAGCAACAGTTATCTCTTCGCTCTAATAACTGAAAAAAAAGGAGCTTTCATTTGTTTAGCTTGATTTTCTGTGGAAATGAGGCTTTGGCAGCTGCACAACCTGCCTCCGTTCCCCTCGCAAACTTCAACCCAATTTGCTTTTGGTTAACAATCGGGTTAGATTTGTTTATAGAATCGTTCAGGTTGGAAACGACCCTTAAGATCATTGAGTCCAACGTTAACCCAGCACTGCCAAGGCCACCACTAAACCCAT